TTGAGCCTCAGAGACTGTGGGCTTCCACGGAATTGCTCAGTACTGGGGACAGAACTTTAGGTGTGAGGCTTTGCTCTCTAGAGAACTTCCTCATCTGGCTTTTGACATCACTAGTGGGGGTCTTTGCAGCACTGGGGGATGCATGGTCACTAGTACTGGGCTGGAAGGCAGATGGTCACTTTGCATCCGAGGACCTGAAGGCGCCTTTGGCAGGTGCTTCTACCTGTCAAGAGGAGCTGGGTAAGGTTCAGACAGGATGCCAGGTTGTTTTCTTGGGTTGGCGGAGACATCGGTTCCGGCAGCTGTGGAGGATGTTTTGAGTTTCTCTGTGGGATTCTCTTTCAACTCCTGAAGGATCCTGTCAGACTCGGGATGGGGCGGCTGGTGGGTCCGGCTCTGGGAAAGTAGGGGGGCAGTTTGCTTTGGAATTTCGCTCCAAGAATCATCAGCCAAGGGGTGGTTTGATGCTTCTCCCTCCCCACAGTATTTTTCCTTGGGCCAAATGCTATTTTTATTATTTCCAACAGAAAAACACATCACACAGAAGTGACGTCAACAGCGTCTCCAGGAAGGCTGCAGTGACACTTCTCCAGCTGATGAAACAGGGGGTTGTCCCCACCATGTGCCTGTTGCAGTGGGTCTCCAAACCAGACCCACTCTGTGGGCAACCAGTGAGCAGCCCCAGGTGTGGTGACCAGGTGGATGAAGAAGGGGAGGGCTGAGGCCTCTGGCCAGGGAGGTGTGTGCTGCTGAGTCCTATTCTGAGCCTGGGCATGTGTGCCATACATTTGGGGTCAGATACCCCACAAACCCTCAGGATTGTAAGGAGCGAATCCCACTGGTACCTTGTAAATGGAGTGAGCAAATTCTAAGGTGGAATCCAGACATTTGGCTGCAGTTTTGCTAAAGACTTTCGGGATGCGGTTTGTCCGGGAATCCAGACTCGAGCTGAGCCACCAGGCAGATCTTGAGCTGCAGGGGTGACCCTGTGGGATTCTGGGGCATGGGGACAGGCGGGTTTCAATACCCCTGCTCTCCGCAGGGGCAGTGCCCACTGTTCCGGCACTGCCCTCCCTGCTTCCTTTGATCACGCTGCCTTTCCCGAAGTGTGGGTGTGGTGCACACGTCCGTCCTTCCTCGAGTGCACAGGAAGGCAATTGCAATTCAGTCTCGAGGCAGCCGGAAAGACCTGGATAAAGAGATTCCAAAATCCATGTGGAAGTGTGACGGACAAGAATCACCAGCATAACTTGGGAAAAGCCACAGCAAGGGGGCCATTCTCACCAGGCAGTCACGTAAAGCCAGCATCCATAAGCTGTCACGAAAATCACAACGGTCTCTCACTCTGGTGACACGAGGTACACCCTTAAGACTTTGAGATCGGTAAGGATCAGTGGGAATGCCCAGAAGTAGATTCTATTTGTGGATAGACAGGAGAGAAGATGCTGACCTGCAATGGTGTCTGGCCTGGTCAGAGTCTCTTGAGAGCTGACAGCAGGGTGAATTCCATGAGATAAACACGGGCAAAAATTCAGTAAGTAAAAAAGAATAAATATCAGTGAACTTTCTGAGTTAAGTGACTATTTCTGAGCAATAGAGGCAACATTTGAGCACATACAGTTAGAAACTATAGCCAGACAGCACCATTAACTATATGAAAACCATCCCTTCAAGAGGCTAAAGCAGGAGGGTCAAAAGTTAGAGGAGAGTTTAGGCAACTTAGCAAGTCCTGTCTCAAAAAAATAAAGGGGGGCTGGGGATGTAGCTCAGCGGTAGAGGACTTGCCTAGCCCTTGTGGGGACCTGGGTTCCATCTCCAGAACCACACATGCACGCGCGAGCGCGCGGACACACACACGTGCACCAAAAAAAAAAAAAAAGTCACTCCAGGCTGGGAAAGTGTTTGAAATGATCTTGTGTCCCATGAACTGTCACTTTATTGTGAAGAAGAGCCAAGTCTTGAGACTGTTTTCTGCGTTTTGTTTAGTTTGATTGCTATGAACTTTATTGTGAGTTAAATCTGTTTAAAAGGGTCTCATAGCCAGGTATGGTTGGGCATACCTGTAATCTCAGCAGCTTGGGAGGCTGAGACAGGAGAATCAGCAAGTCACCGAGGCCCTTAGCAACTTACCAAGACCCTATCTCAAAAAATGAAAAGGGCTGGGGATGTGGCTCACTGGTTGAGAGCCCCTGGGTTCAAACCCCGGTACCAAAATAAAAATAAATAATAAAAAATAAGTGTCTTAGACACCTGTGTGCAGTCTGACTTTTAAGATATGAACGCCAGGTACCTTCATTAGTCTGTTGTCATGTCAGTCATGCGAGGGAAGACCCACCTGAGAATTTTGGCTGCTGGATGTTTGATGGTTGCCTATGCCCTCTGTGCCAGGCTGGGCAGAGGAGCCAGGATCTGGGTAAAGGGTATGAGATTTAGGGAAAGAACAGCACTGGGCCTTCCTTCTGCACCAGTCTTGTTTGGAGAAGTGAGCTCTAGGCTGGGGGTTCACCAGTCCACCTCTGTGCCTGAGGAGGGCTCCGCCTGGGGACAGTGGGCAGACCCCAGCCACGGGTGCCTTGGGAGCAGGTGACAGCAGGTGTCCTGAACCAGGGACTCCCAGTAGGAAGAACCTGTCCTTTCTTTCCTGACGCCTGCTGGGGACTGTCCACCTGACAGCTGATGAGAGTGGACAGAGGCAGAATCACAGTGAGGTCAAGAAAGCTTCGCTGCAGTAGCTCTTTCACTCTGGGAGGGGAGGGCTAGGAATTCATACAGGTGGTGGTTGTGGCTTTGTAAAATTGACAAAATAACTTCTTTTTATGACTCTGCTTCAAGAGAGTCTCTGAATTTTATGTTGTAAGCCCCATAAAACCTGGATCCTGCCCTGCCCAGAGATCTCCTTCTAACCCAAAATCTGTCCACATTCTTTCCTTCTTCCTCAGATAAGCTGGAGACACGTCTGAGGCGGTGAGTCATCTCTGCCCTGGGGGCAGGGTGCAATTCAGAGAGCATCCCTGAACTTTTCCAAGGTGCTAATCTGTCCACTCACACACCCTTACTGGCCATCCCTTTGTGCCAAGCCAGCTCCAGAGAGAGGATGAGGTGCAAAGTTGGGAAAAATAGCTGGGTGTGGTGGCACACGTCTGTAATCTCAGTGACTCTGGAGGCTGAGGCAAGAGAGTCCTAAATTCGAGGCCAGCCTTGGCCATTTAGCAAGACCCTTTCTTACAATGAAAAGGCCTGGGGATGCAGCTCAGTTGAAGAGTGGCCCTGGGTTCAATCCCTAGTACCCCTCCCCTCAAACAAGGTGGAAAAAAAATGGATGGTCCCATTGCACTGTTCCAAAGTTAGAGAGACACTCAACTAACTTGTGTCTATACCCACAGGATGGGGCGGGGTGCTGAGGTGGGCACTGGGGAGGTTTTCCTGAAGGCAGACCCTGGTCTATGTGAGGGTAGATCAGGAGGAAACGGTTCCTGAGCTGGGGCATGGGCCAACGAGGCTTGGGACAGCTGCTACTACCGAGATCCCAGGGAGGGGTGGGAGGAGGGGTGAGATGGAGGGCAGGATGGGGCAGAATGGGTCCTGTTTGGAGGATCAGCAAGCAGAGCTGCCAACCCGTATTTGAGATCCAGAGTCCAGTGAACTGCCTGCCATCTATTCTGTGCCTTCAGTATTTTTTTCTGACTTTCAGGCAGCAGAGCGTGGGGCTGGCAAATGTCCTGGGAGCCAGACCCCCATGATCCCAGTGTTCAGTTCCCAGACCGGCAGCCAGAAGCCAGGGGCAGGGCTGCCTCCTCCTTTCCTTTGACCTGAGGTTCCTCAAGTGTAGAGCAGGAGTTACTGCTGGGCTGACCTGACAGATGTGCCCCTCCAGGTGGTGGGAAGGGCTCAGATTCTGTGTGTGTGTGTGTGTGTGTGTGTGTATGCATGCGTGCCTGTGTCTCCATTGCTTCTGGACAGCTGTGATTCTCCATCTCCCAAGCCCCTCCAGGGGCTCTCTTCAGAGCTGGCTGTTAGGGGAGGGGGATTCTGGAGCCTTCAGGGTTCCTCTTACTCAGACCACCGGGGGTGTGGGAGGAGGAAGGTCTCAGATGCACATCTCCAGCTGGGACTGGCACATTGGCCCTCACACACCTAGGTGTGACACTCACTCTGGGCTCCACCAGATCCTGTCCAGACTGGACCTCCCCAGGCTATTCAAAACCCGCTGGGAGAGGCTGGCCCTCACTAACCCCAGGACCTCCGAGTTCAACCCTTGGGACAGCTGGTCCTTGCACTGGAGTCGGTCACTTCCAAACCAAAACCGGGGGTAAAAGAAGAAAAGCAGATCAGGAAGGGCTCTGTCCTCGGCGGTGCCTCTGGGCCCTCGGCCGCCACCTCCAAGAGCACTCTGCACAGAAACACGAATGAAGATGCGTGGAAGTGGTTGACCAACAATGTAGGAGGTACGGGGGGGGGGCTGCAGAGGCTGCCCACCCAATCCCCAAGTTCTTCCCCAAGCAGGACCAGCATGGATGAGATGCCAGGGCTGGATGGAGGGTCCACGAGGAAGACAAACTGAGGCTGCTTTCCCTGGGAATCTTGAGAAGGAAGGGGAGGCTGAGGGCTGTCCCCGGAGTCCGGGGTCTGGGGCCAGGGGTCCGTAGAGACCTGTCTCTGCAGGGTGTGCGAGGCGTGCCTCTCTTGTTCTCCGCGGGGCGCGGGGGTTGGCTCTAGGTGGGACCAGGCCTGGGACTTTCAGCCTGAGATAAGCAGGAAGCGCGAAGGGGCTCTGCTTGCGGGGTGGGAGTCTGGGGGACGCGGGGAAGGGCGGTCTGCCGGCGGGCCAGGGGTAGGGGAGCCGCTGGAAGAGGAGCCCTGGGCGGGGCCGAGGGAGTGTGGGGCGGGGCCTAGGTCGGGGGCGCGTCCTGGGCGGGTGGGGGCAGGGCTGTGGGCGGGGCCGGGGCTGGGGTCGGCCGGGCCCGGGGCGTGTCGCGGGCGGGGCGGGCCTCTCCCGCGCCCGGCTGGGTGCAGTCTGCCCACCGCTCACAGGGAGCGTGTGGCCGGCTGGACCTGGGTGGACTGGTCTCCGCACGGCCCTTCGGGCGCGGGCGGGAAGCCGGCTCCTGGGCACCTGTGCTGCGCCCCGCGCACTCTCCCCGGCATGGCGCACGCGGAGACGGCGGCTCCGGGCCGCAGGGCCGGTCTGTGAGCCTCGGACCCGAGAGGCACCGGGGGCTTGGCCGCGCGCACGATGCCTTTGCCAGCGGAGGCGAGGGCGACCCCGAGGGCGACGGGGCGCGCGGTGGCTCCGGCGCTGCTGCTGCTGCTGCTGCTCTCCGCGGTGCGTGCGACTGCCCCGCCGCGACCCCTGCTCCCGCTGCAGCCCAGCATGTGAGTCGCGGGAGCAGGAGAGGCTCCTCCGGGCGTCGGAAACCGGGACCGAGCTCCTGGGCTTTGTCCGGGGGCCCCAGAACAATGGGCTCTTTGCCGTAGCTGGGGAGAGGGTTCCCGGTGGGGTCTGGGGAGCCCCTGTGGCAGGCCTGTGCCTCCTCCCTCACGGCCTCTGTGATGTGGGTCCTGCCTGCTCAGGCAGATGCTGAGCTGGGGAGGGAGGTGAGGAATCCGGGCCCCCTGCCCGGCAGGGTCTAGCCTGGGAGCCGGCTTGGACGGCAGAGGAAGCGGCCTGCTCCCACTTCCTCCAAAGCCTGTCTCCTGGGGTCTGGGGGGCCTTCGCAGGGGCGGGGTGTACCCAGACGGGGCTGCAGAGCTGGTTTGTGTGTTAAACACGTGTGCTTTGGAGCTGCAGGGAGAAGGAATTCAGTACCAGAATGGGCAGGAAGAGACGGTCAGGGAGCCAGCCGAGATGAATTTAATTTTGAAAGATGATTCCCCAACGGGCCATTTAGCGGTCTCTCTTAAACAGCAAAGCAATCCCTGTGTTGGCCTCAAAGGAAAGTGGAGGAGGAGGAGGTGGGGAGAGCCTGTTGGCTGCCCCCCACTCCAGCACTCCCTGCAGGGTGCCTGGGCTTGGGGCCGGCCAACCTGGCAAGGCCTTTGCCAGCTGCAGAGGGGCTGGCCACGGCCCTGGGCTCAGCTCACGTTGGGGCCTCCCAGCCGCAACCCTGAAGCCCCCTTCAGGGGCCACAGAGGGGCTTCTCAGGCTCCTCCTATCCAGCATTCTGGAAGAGGGCCTGGCGCTGGGCCACTCTATGTACCTGGCTGTGGAGGAGAGAGAGGCGGCCCCCTGGGGATGGAGTGGACAGGGTTCCACACTGGGGGGAGGCAGGCAGATTCTTTCCCCCAGGGCCTCTACTCTGGGTCTTGCTTTGCTCCAAGAAGGAAGATTTCCTGTGGTCTCTTCCACAGAGGACCTCCTCTGTGTTGGGGACCTTTCATCCAGAAACTGAAAGGCCTGCACCTCGACTCCAGGGGACTTCTGCTGAACACTTCTGCTTCCTGTGGTCCCCGTGCCTTTGTCCAAGGGGAGCTGCAGCCCCACAAGGGGTTAGCACACAGGCTTTGGGCCACTTGATTGCCTGCTTCTCATACGGCTGCCAGAAGACTTGGGGCTCTGATCCTGGGGGGGCAGCAGCTCAATGGTGACTGGTGGACGTTTCTGCTCTTGAGAGAGGCTTCTGCCCCTGCTGCACTCACGAAAACTGCTGGCTGCCTGCCTTTCTGGGTCCCCATCCAACTTGCCCAAACTTGCTGTTCTCTCCAGGCGTGGAGCAGGGGTCTTTCCTGTGTCCTACTCGCTCACCTGACCTCTGGGAAGCCTGGAGCCAGGCTGGGAAGAGCTGTCGCTCCTTCCAGACCCTCCCCTCCCATTGCTGCTCCCTGATCTTAAATCCTGTGGCTGCTGCCCTGGGGGCCGTTGTCCACTGTTTCCTGGCCCTGTCTCCATAAGGCCTTTGTTCGCAAATTGCCCCTTGCAGGTGGGTCTGAGTTCCAGGTTGGCTGAGGTGGCTGTGTGTCTGCCACAGGCCTTCTGTCACCTCGCCACCTGCATGTGCCTGGATGCACAGTAGGGCTGCAGTGGGCCCTGGCTGGCTGGGGGAGCTCCGATTAGAACAGAGGAGGTTTCTCCCTTGGCTGGGAGAGGGCCGGAGAGCAGAGCTGTGGCCTGGGGTGGGGAGGCAGCCCCTGGCGGCGGCCTGCCTAGGCTGCCCTGCCCAGGGGAGGGATAGCACCCCAGCCACCTTCTGCTGGTCCTGTAAGCAGCCAAACCCACCACCAGCCAGAGGGCCGTGTGTTCATGTGGGGGGTGTGCAGTTTGTGAGGTCGCCTCCTGGGGCACAGAGTGAAGGGGGAAGAGGGTGGTCCTGGTAGGCCGTGAGGTCCTCTGGCATTGGTGGGATCAGGCATGAGACTGGGGGGACTCAGGGCCCTGTGTCCAGGACGCAGCCCAAGGACGGCTGATGAGCCCTTCCCTAACGAGGGGACCCCCGTTCCTGACTCATTGCCCTGCCTGGCCTCTCCCCATAAACTCAGGCTGGGATCCTTGGCCTGCCACAGCCCCTGGGAAGCTGGGGCCCGCGTCCTGTGCAGTCATCTGAGAGGCATGGAACCCCAGAGCAGGCCTGGCTCCACATCTTATTAGTGACCTGGAGCAGGTAATGCAGGGAGCCACCGTTACCTCCTTCCAGGAGTGTTGGGGACATCCGTCCCGCCTGGCCCATTACCCCAGGCTGGAGGAGCCGGGGGGTGTGGAAGCTGTGAGGCCGGAGCAGCAGGTACCACTGGGAGCTCACAGGAGAGCCTGGATCCTGATCCTGGGCTGCCCTGTCCTGCACTTTGAGGATCCTCGCCCTGCAGTCCCCCCAGACGTGGGCTGGCTGGCCTCTGCCACGGAAGACTGCAGGAGGGGTGTGAATGGGACGTCTTGGGCAGCCTGGTCCTGCGGACTTGACTGGGGATTTGGGTTTGGCTCTGCCCTGGCCACCAGTCTTTGATGGTCAGCTGGGGGCGGAGGACCTCGGCCTTGGTGCTGTGGCCAGGCCAGGCTGGGGACCCAGCTTCGTTGGTGCTTTCATCTTGGCTACAAAGCAGAGCCGCTGTGTGACTCCCTGAGGGGCGGGCTTCCCACCCAGCGAGAGCAACAGGAGGAGGAAAAATAAAGTCCTCGGTTGCAAGAGCATCCGTCTGGGGGTGGCTGGCCTAGGGCCAGGTCCTGGGACAGGGCAGCCAGGGTCTTCCAGGGCTGAGCCTGGGGACCCCCAGCAGACCAGACAAACGTCGGGGCTGTATGGGAAGCAGGAACTTCTGCCCAGGTGGACGGTTTGAAAACAGAGGCCAGGGATGTGCTGTGTCCCCTGAGCAGGGAGCTCAGCCAGGAGGTTGGGAGAGAAGTGGCTTCCTGCCTGCTCTGATACCCCAAAATGGTGGTGGGGGCCCAGGTGCTGGATTTGCCAGACTCACTGCAGTGTACCCCCAGGTAGCATGCAGTGTGGTCCACTCAGAGCACAGGCCCTGCCCCTCGTGTTGGGGATCAAGCCCAGAACCTGGCCCTGCTGGGAGAGCCTGGTCTCCTCTTCCTTAAGGTCCCACAGAATCCTGCTGGCTTCTGACTTGGTCCGACTTAATTGTTAGCACTTAAGTCGTGTCCTCTTTTACTGAAACTTGTCTTTGGAGGCCACCTGACCTGGGTGAACCCAAGCTCTGGGCATCCACCACCTCCTGGGGGCATGGATTATGTGCAGGGGGGGCTGGGTTTGAACCCGGGGCCTCACATGTGCAAGCAAATGCTCTACCACTGAGCCACCTCCTCAGCCCTTTTTATTTTTTATCTTGAGACAGGGCCTTGCTAATTTGCTTGGGGTCGTCCCTCCACTGACCTTTCCCCACCTCACAGCCTGATGGGCATGGGGGTCTGTCTTACGCTGACCGCCCCCAGCACTGGCTCTTCCCTGGCCTGGTTTATGCAGTCCCTGGGGTGGGGACCTGCAGAAAGGGGAGTCCTATGGGTCTTGGCAGGGGTGGGGACCATGGCGCTACTTTTCCATTTCCTGCTCCTCGGAGGGGATGCCCTTCTCACTGTGCCAACAGCCCGCATGGCTCAGAGGGTGCTGGGAGTCACTGAGGTCACAGGGATGGGGCAGGGAGGGCCGGGTGGAGAGAACAGAAGCCCTGAGCGGGAGGACTGAGCCATCTGGAAGGTGGTGTGGGGTCTTCCTGGCCTGGCTCCTGGGGGATCAGGCAGCACCTTGGGCAGTGTGTGGTCCTGTGTGGGGGTGCTGTGGTCCTGGTTCCTCTTCGAACCCCCCTCACCCTCGAGCCTGGGTGGGCACTGGGAGGGCTGTGCTCTGGAGGCCTGGCCTCCCAGGGCCATGTGCTGGAGGAGCCTGTGCCAACCAGAGGTGGGTGGTGAGATGCTCACTGTCCCTGTTCTCTGTCCCAGGCCCCATGTGTGTGCCCAGCAGCAGCTGACCCTGGTGGGCCATCGTCGGCCCTGTGTGAAGGCCCTCAGTCGCATGGTGTCCGTGTGGAAGCCGGGCTGTGGGCGCCAGGCATGGTGCATTGGCCACGAGCGCAGGTAGGTGCTGGGCACCTGGGGCTGTGGGCAGGAGCTGGGCAGTGGGGGCTGGGGCTGCACCCATCCTGGCCTCAGGGCCACCGGATGCCCCCTCTGAGGACAGAGTGCCAGGGAGGCTCCAAGTCACAGCTCTGTGGAGAGGTGTGGGGCCCCACCAGGGAGGGGTGCTGGGCACAGCCGGCAGAGAGCCCGAGCTCACCTGCTGAGTTCCGGTTGGAGGCCATTGCTGCCTGACCCTTGGGCCTCTTCCCAAGCCCACGTGAAACCTTTCATTGCTCAATATTTTATTTCAAAATCAAGCTCAAGGAGTTCTTTTTATGCCTCTCCTGTTTGTAGACTCAGCACCGTGGAACCTGCCTGGGTGCAGACTGGGGGGGGCATGGCTGCGGCCCCAGTGGGTGGAGGAAGGAGGGGTCCTGGGAGGAGGGCTGCTCAGCCAGGGTTCCGGGGGTCCTGGTCCTGCCCTGGGCTGCCCTCCTGGGGGCTCCATGTCTGCTCGGCCTGCTCAGGGGCTTGGGGACGGCGGGTGAATGTCTGTTGGCTGGACAGTTAGTTCATCATATGCCAAGTGAAGGAGGAGGAGTGTGGTTGAGTGTGGCTGAGTGTGGCTGCTTCTCACCCGGGGCCATTTTGTCGTCCCCCACCCCGCAGTGCCTGGAGACAGGTTTGGTGCTGGGAGGTGGGCTGGGGGACAGGAGCTGTGCATCCAGGAGGAATGGCCTGGGCAGGAAGGACACATTCCTCATTGCTCTCCAGGGGCTGCTCCCCGCAGCTTCCAGGGTGTGCAGTAGAAACAGGGATTCGGTGGCCTAGACCCGGGTCCCCGTCCTCACCTTGGAGAGGGTGGTTTCTGTGGTGGGTGGCCAGTTGGAGGAGCCTCCATGACTTCCCTGCTGTGGCCTGTTGTGGCTGGACGCAGGGTGCAGTGTTTCCCAGGTGGCTGGGTGGGCAAGGTGTCCAGGAAGCCTCAGCCTCTGGAGGACCTTACTATCTGGGTCAGTGCTGATGCGTCCACAGCCTCCCTGCCGGGGTTGTGCTTGGGCCATGCTGTCAGGGTTTCCCCGGCGGCTGGGGCCTGTGCAGCTCTGGCTCCAGGACTCCGGCCCTGGCACGGTTCAGCTCAAGGTGTCCGGACCCTTCTCCAACCCTCCCTCCCAGGAATGTGGCAGTTCTGCCATGGGGTTCAGTGGGAGCAGTTTGGGCTCTGGGTCATGGGGGGCAGGGCAGCTGTCCAGTCTGGCTGACTCTGGAATGTGGCTAAGGTCTGCCTTTGCTCCACACCCACTCCTGGTAGCCTGAGTGCTCTCAGGGCCTCGGTGCCAAGGGGACAGTGTTTTGCCTGGCCTGCAGGCACTGTCACCCCGTGGCTGTGGTGGCCAGGCTTGCCCCAGTTCAGTGTGCGTGGAATGCGCAGTCTCTCTTCTCCTCTGGTGTCCCTTCCCAACCTCTGGGAACTGGGCACAGCTGGGCCGAGTTGCAGGCCATGTCTCCACATGCCTGTCCACGCCTGTCCCTGCCTGTCCAGCCCAGGTGGTGGAGCTGAGAGGTCTGTCTGCTGCACCTTCCTGCTTACCCTTCCCCAGGAGCTGGCCTGACCCCATCCTCTTCTCCCCATCTGCCCAGTCCAGTCCAGTGAGTCGCCTCCGTGGACGCCACTCCTCCTTGCAATGGTACCGGAGTTCCCGTCCCTGACTGGAGCCCTCAGGCCTTGTCTGGTGCCCCTGAGTCCTGGGCCTAAGGACAGTCATGTGACAAGGAGCTGGTCATGGCTGCAGTGTCCCCGGTGGCAGTAAGCCATTCCTCCTGCTTCTGTGGGGACAGCACATGCTGCATGTGGAGAGCCACAGCTGGTCCTGGGGAGGGCAGGAAGGAGGTCCCCGGCCTGGAGGAGGGCTCGGAGGCAGGGCGGGCCTCTGGCCCCGCAGCCCGGGCTGGGGGGGCCCTGGGTGGGTCCCTGAGCAGCGTGGGCGCTGAGTGGGCTGACAGGAGCCAGTGCCGGGCCGTGGGCTTCGTCACCCTCCCCACCCTACTTGCTGTTTCAGCTCTTGAGCTGACCCACACGTGGGGGGACAGCACCTCATGCCACGGGCGCGTATCGGAGGTGCCCTGGAGTGGCCTTCCCAGCTGCTGGGCACAGAGCAGGGCAGGGAAGCCGAGTGTCTGCGGCAGGGAGAGGGCAGGGGACCCACTGTGTCATCTGGCTCCCTGGACAGCTGTGTGGGCATCCAGGACAGCCAGGCTGCGTTTCTTCAGTCCCTAAAAGGCAGGCAGCGAGCGCTTTGACCTGAGGAAACCGGTGCCCAGGGGTCTGGGCGCTGGGCCGTGGCTTCCCGGGAGTGAGTGGCAGGGCTGAAGCATCAGCCTTGGGCCCTGGCTCCGCGCCCGAGCACTGGCAGCGAGGCCTACAGTCTGCCCACTCAGAGGTGCCCTCTGTGAGCCCTCCTGCACCTCTGGGGGACCAGTGGATGTCTTCATGTCCCCGCATCTCTCTTGGGGGTCACTAAGGCCTGAAGGCTGCCGGGGGCCCGGAGCAGCAGGGAGCAGGGTGGGGAGTATGGTGCAAGCCCAGCAGGGAGGCCTGGCCATGGGGCAGCAGAGCTGGCCTGAGTCCGGCCCCAGCTCTAGGAGCACCTCTGGGCCTGGGTTTGGCCTGGGCCTGGCAGGCGCTTCCCTCAGCTGGGACCAGGTGATGGGGACCTTGCCTGGCCTTGGTGTTGGCAGGCCAAGCGCCACGCACGTCCCTCCGCCTGGGGACCTGGCTCTGCTGCCCCATGGCCTCATGCCTGGGCCAGGGATGATTGTCAGGCTGCTCCCGTTGGCCACTGGGCGAGCCAGTGACAGGTGACAGTGCTACACACACTGTGAGGCCAACGGGCCCCAGATGTGGGCTCTGCCTGCGGGCGACGGCCACCACCTGTTGGGCCCCAGGGCCCTGCCCCTGCGGCCTGGCCTCTAGCCCTTGTCGCTCTGACAGTTCTGTGCAGAGAATTCCCTGGTTTGTTGAGCAGGTTGCAAAGGGGCTCGGCAGATGTGAGGGCCAGCAGTGTCCCCCCGACACCAGCTGCACCCCAGCTTCCCTGGACAGACAAGGGCACCTCCTCTCCAGCTCTTTGGGGGTGGCCACCAGGGCCAGGGGTCACAGGACCGACTCTGTGTCCACGTGCTTAGGCCAGGTTCAGTGCCATGGGGGCCTCAGTTTCCCCGTCTGGTTGAGCTGGGGTAAGGATCATTGGCCACACACAGGCTCCCTGGTGGCTCCTGCACCCTCTGGGCAGGAGTTGGCTTTGTGTCTGGGTCTGGGCTGTCGAGTCTGTGCCCGGCCACAGGCAGGGCCGTGTGGGTGACAGGGCGCCTGGCCTGGCCCAGAACAGATAAGACTGCGCTGGCACCTGGCATCCCGCCAGCGTAAAGGGCCTTCCCCAGCAAACCCGAGAGCCAGCACCGGCCGCTCAGGCTGCATGAAGCCGCGAGAGAGGAGCGAGGTCCTCCAGAGGAAGGAGGGCGCCCCGTGGCCCTCAGCACGGAGCTGGCCATGCTCCTGCCAGGCCCAGACCCTGCAGCTGTGGCTCCACTGGGCCTCCCTCCCAGCAGCCTCGTCCCCTGACCCCAGCCTTGTGGGAATCAGCTCCCGGTGGCACTGGCTGCAGGGGAACGGGGATCAGTCCTCAGGGGCTGACTGTTCCTCTCCCAGGGTCCTTCCTTTAGGGGCCGTGGGATGGGATGACCCGTGGCCGGGAAGAGCAGCTCGTACCCTGGCCCTGCGGCAGCCATGCTGTTCACACTGCAAGGCGAGCGCTCGGCCTCTGATCCATGTCGTCTGCCGCGGGTGGATTTGCGCAGGCGAGTGGTTTCGTGTCGGGCCAAGGTGTCGTGCAAGGCGCTCCCAGCACCTCCGAGTGCAGTGCCTGGCGTGGACGTGTGCGTCCAGGAAGTGGCCCCCGCCCTGTTTGTTTGTTGGGCCTGGGGCCTGGGCCAACTCTGCTTCCCATGCGCCAGCCCCAGCAAGGAGGTGGTCTGTCACTTGGAGGCGACAACTCAGGCTGCCTGGCCGCTCCCAGAGGCTCGAGGGCCCCAACACAGTGGCTGTTGGCTGGCCCCTGGATTCCATCCCTGTGGACCGTGGCGGACTGGAGGGGGTGCTGGGGCTGGGCCTCCCATCGTCCCTCCTTGGCTACTCTTTCCTGTCTCTCAGTCTCTCTGTCTGTCTCTCCGGCCCGGTTCCGTCACTGTGAGCACAAAGGCCTCCCAGCCACAGGATCTGGGGTGTGTGCCAGGCTCTGAGCCCCTGTGTTTCCTGGGGCTCCTACAACAAGCCATGACAAACCAGGTGGCTTAAAGCACCAGGAATTTGTCCTCTCGCTGTTCAGGAGGCCTGGAGTGCCCGGCCAGGTGTGGGCAGGGCTGGTTGCCCCTGGAGAGACGGAGGGGTCCCTGCCCTAGCCTCTTGTGGTTCTCAGGCTGCGGCTGCTGGCCTCTTAGAAGTGTCCCTGGATCACACCCTCTACTTCACACGGCTTCTCCCTGTGTGTTTGTAAGGACACCAGGAGGTTAGGGTCCATTCCAATCTAGTACGGCCTCATCTTAACTAAGGGTTAAGCAAAGACCTTATTTCTGAATCAAGCCCTGTTCCAGGTGGACGTGAGTTTGGGGAACACTGTTCAACCCAGTACAAGCAGCAAGAGGCGGCATTGGAGTGGACGGGGCAGATGGCTGGGAGGGGCCTTGCTGACTGCAGCTGGAGGCTGTCTGGGTGGAGGAGGGCCAAAAGCAGGGTCACCCCTCAGGAAGGACGCCTGGTACCACCTTGGACCAGCCACCCAGCCCTGGGCCCCTCAGGCATGAAGCTTACTCCAAAAGCCATCCCCCCTAGGCTGGGCACATCCACTCTGAATCCCCCAGTCCTCCCAGCCTGGCCGGAGCTGAGACTGGGGCGTGGGCCAGGTGGGAACCTGACCCCAGCTTGGAGCAGGCCCACCGTGGGAGTTGGGGGCTGGGCAGAGGGAGTGGGGTAGCATGGACAGGAAGAGTGCACGGCTCCTCCTGCACGCAGCACCCTGACCCGGCCGCAGGGGCACATGGGTGTAGGCAGCAGCCACCCCACCTGGGCCGCGTGGGAGCCAGTCTCCTGGGTGTGGAGGGAGCCACGGTGTGCTGCTCTGCAGTGGCCAATGTGTCCTTCCTTCTTTTCCAGAACCGTCTACTACACAGGCTACAGGCAGGTGTATGCTGCGGAGGCCCGCACCGTGTTCCGGTGCTGCCCGGGATGGAGCCAGCAGCCGGGTCAGGAGGGCTGCCTCTCAGGTGAGTGTGCTTGTCCCTCTGCACCTGCTGCCCAGCAGAGGCCTGTCTGGCAGGTGCCCTCCCGGCTTTGGCCCTGGGGCTGCAGGCCGGGGTCTTCTGCACTGGGTACAACTCCCCACAGCAATGCCAGAGCCACCAGGGTCACTGGTCCAGCAGCTCGACTTGCCAGGGGCTGTTAAAGGGAGGTGACAGAGAAAAACGGAGCAGCGACTCTCAGCACTGAAGCTGGCAGGAGCATGGCCAGGGAGGGCTGTGGCTGTGGCACAGGTGTGGGCATCCCCGTGCGTCCAGCGTGGCTCAGGTGCTGTGCAACCTGGGACATCGGGACGGGTGGCTGGGGCTGAGAGCAGGCTGGGCCCAGGATCGCATCCTCTGAGACCCGCGGCTCTGAAGCCTGGTTTGTGAAAGGATGCGGCTTGTGGCTGCATGGACTGGCCACAGGGACCATGTGGGAAGGGTTCCTGGCCTGCTGGCATGGGGACAGGGGACAGGCAGGTGGGTGTGGGGCAGGTGCCCTGGCAGGTGAAGGTGACTGGGTGAGGAGTCAGCCACCCTCCTGGGAGGTTGTGCGGTGGCTGGGTTCGCGGGCTGTGGCTCCTGGGTTTCTTGAGTCCCCTCCTGGGGACACAGCCACTGGTCCTGTGCCCAGCGCTAGCAGGATAAAGGGAAGGGAAGGGATGGGGGTGTTTTCCAGAAGGGAAGTGAGTCACTGTCCAGGACATGAGCAAAGGAAGGAGGGAGCAGTGGCTGACTCCAGTGGACGGGACAGGGTGGGACACTGGCCAGCTCCCCTGAGCCAGGGGGCGGGGTCCCAGCCTGGGGGACAGTCGAGGGCACTTCTCTCTGGCTCTCTGACCGTCTCTGCCTGGAGGAACACAGGGGTCTGTTTAGAGGGGACAGACATCAAAGCTGAAGGCCCCCGTGCCTGCCAGAGGTGGCACTGATGACGGCCCTGGGGCTGAAGCAGGGGTGGCAGAGGAAGCGGGGTGTGCTGTCCAGGCCCAGCTAGGTGTGCAGGGCAGTGCTAGCCACTGGTGTCCTCTGGGCCCCTGCTGGGTTTGGGGAAGGTTGCTTTTCACCTGTCTGGAGTGACCAACCAAGGCCAGGGGTGGAGGCAGAAGGGGCCAGGGCCAACCCCTACTGCAGGCCGGGCAGGTGCTGGCTTTCTGGGAAAGTGAGGCCACCATGGGGTTGGGGTGGCAGGTCCTACTGACTGTGTCCCTCTCTCCCGTCCCTTTGTCTGGCATGAGCTCTGGATGTGCCCAAAGGTCCTGTCTGCACCAGCTGCGGAGCTCTCTCCCCCACGCAGGACCCTCAGGCTCCAGTGGGCGAGGTGCTGGCAGTGGCCACTGCCCAGGGACATCACCCAGTGCCCTCAGGGGAGGGGTCTCTGCCAGATCCTCCCAGGCAGCTTGTGGAGGAGCTGGGCTGGGCAGTGGGGCAGCAGGTGGGTCTCTTGTCACGTGGGCCGTGACGCAGCAGGGTACCCACCTGGAACTGGGCTCTCCAGTTGTTTGTTTTGAAGTTCATTTTTCGTGCAGGGTTGGCTTACTTACTGCTTCATTTTGTTTGTTTGAATAATCCCAGTCCAGCCACGTGATCTGGCTTCTCCGGCCTCTCCCCGTTCACCCAGGGGTTGGCCCCCAGAGTGAGAGGCCGGGGGAGGGGAGCAGGAGGGTTCAGACGGCAGGGTGCTCGCTGGCTTGTCCCGCCCAGAGTTGGGGGGCTCCAGCACGTTCTGTGGTGACCTGTGTCCACTCCTTGTTTGTTCAATCACCTTTTTACACACTCACTCACACTCACCCATTCACTCACTCTCCCATCCACTCACCCACTCACTCACTCACTCACCCACTCACTCACCCACTCACCCACTCACCCACTCACCCACCCACTCACCCACTCACCCACTCACCCACTCACTCACCCACTCACTTACCCACTCACTCACCCACTCACCCACTCACCCACCCACTTACCCACCCACTCACCCACCCACTCACCCACTCACTCACCCACTCACTCACCCACTCACCCACTCATCCACTCACTCACCCACTCACTCGCCCACTCGCCCACTCACCCACTCACCCACTCACTCACCCACCCACTCACCCACTCACTCACCCACCCACCCACTCACCCACTCACTCACCCACTATCCCACTCACTCACCCACCTACCTACTCACCCACTCACCCACCCACCCACCCACCCACTCACTCACCCACTCACCCACCCACTCACTCACCCACTCACCCACTCACTCACCCACTCACCCACTCTCCCACTCACTCACTCACCCACTCACCCACTCACCCACTCACTCACCCACTCACCCACTCACCCACTCACTCACTCACCCACTCACCCACTCACCCACTCATCCACTCACTCACCCACTCACTCGCCCACTCGCCCACTCACCCACTCACCCACTCACTCACCCACTCACTTACCCACTCACTCACTCACCCACTCACCCACTCACCCACTTACCCACTCACCCACTCACCCACTCGCCCACTCGCCCACTCACCCACTCACTCACCCAGTCACTCACTCACTCACTCACCCAGTCACTCACTCACTCACTCACTCACCCACTCACTCACCCACTCACCCGCTCACTCGCCCACTCACCCACTCACCCACTCACCCAGTCACCCACTCACTCACCCACTCACCCACTCACCCACTCACCCACTCGCTCACCCACTCGCTCACCCACTCGCCCACTCACTCGCCCACTCACCCACTCACCCACTCACTCACCCACTCACCCACTCACCCACTCAATCGCCCACTCGCCCACTCACCCACTCACTCGCCCACTCACCCACTCACTCACCCACTCACTCACCCACTCACTCACCCACTTACTCACTCACTCACTCACTCACTCACCCACCCACCCACTCACCCACTCACTCACCCAGTCACCCACTCACTCACCCACTCACCCACTCACTCACCCACTCACCCACCCACTCACCCACTCACTCACTCACTCACCCAGTCACCCACTCACTCACTCACCCACTCACCCACCCACTCACCCACTCACTCACTCACTCACCCACTCACTCGCCCACTCACCCACTCACTCGCCCACTCACCCACTCTCTGGATCCCTCGGGTTTCCCCTGCTTCTCTCACGTGTTGTGGAGTCACGAGGACCTGGCAGGGGCAGCACCTGCCCATGGCGAGTCCACAGTCTGGTGGGTGGCAGACCCAAGCAGGTGCCTGTCCTGTGGCCAGGGAGTGACCCAGGCAGATGAGGCCCGTTGGGCTGGGGGAGTATCTGGGGATGGCACAAATGTCCAGGTGCCAGCTGGGAGCCCCAGACAGTCAGGAGGTGAGTGCTGAGTTGGGTCAGCAGGTGGACCTATGGGAGGGGTGGCTGGACGGCTGGGGTTTCGGAGCTCCGGGAGCTGTGGGGCCTGCAGTCGAGCTGTCGAAAAGACTGCAAGGGGCCTCTCAAACTGCCCTCCCTGGGGAGTGGGCTTCCTGCCATGAGCTGCAGGCCTATGGGCACTGCTCTGTGGTCTCCAGGTCCTGCTTGTGAAGTGTCTGGGCCAGGCAGGGCTGGGGGCTTCTCTGGTCCCAAGGAGGGCCATGGCAGGCTGTGACCCTGGCCTGGCCCAGGCAAGAGCATGGGGCAAGCGTCCATTGCTGAGCTGGCGCCGCCCTGTGTGAGGAAAGCAGTGCAGGGCGGAGGCCGCAGCCGGGTCCTGGCCTTGGCACTGACATTGGACTCAGGCACGGACTCAATGGCGGCCACGTGGAGCTTTTCTGTGGCGCTGGTACCTGGTACCCACTGAAGCAGCTCTGCACAAGGAGGTCTGGCCCCCGCCAGCAGGGCTGCAGGACAACTGTTAGGGGTGGGGGACCCCTGGCTGCCGGGTCCCTTGGCTGAGGGCTCTGTCGGCAGGACTTGTGAGGAGCTGTGCCCTCCACAGCCAGCTGTGGGGTTGCCAGGCCGCTCACTGCCGGGTGGCTTGGGGGCATTTCCTCCCTCTGGCCCCGAGGGCTTGGCCAAGCTCAGAGCCCGCGGGGTCTCCCCTGCAGCTCTGGGGGAACTGCTAGGTGGGCGGAGCCTCTGAGGGGGCCAGAGCCTCGGGGAAGCCTTGCTCCAGCCCAGCAGTGTCCCCACTGAGGGCCTCATGCCAGGAGGACGGGGCAGGTGGGGCTCAGACCAAGGGACTTCTGTCTTGGGTGGAAGTCTTGGGGTCCCTGTGGGGGCTCGAGTTCCCTGGGGTCAGGTGACAGTCTAAGTGACTGCCCATGGTCCCCTCCCGGTTCCCATGCCATGGTGCCCCCCCAGCACCCCCTGGCCTGCAGGAGAGGCACTCAGGACCCCTCCCCTGGGCCTCTCCTCATTTCTGTCACCCTGCAGACCCTGCCAGCAGGGGAAGGGCAGGGTACCCCGAGCTGCTGACACCCCCCCTCACAGCCATTGTGAAATTTCCTTGCTGGTGTGACCTGGAAACTGGCTGGAGGACGCGTCAGGCCAGAGGGTGGGCGTGGGAGCCACGTGTTGTGTAGGAGAGCGAGGAGAGCATGACGGGACCCTAGCCCAGAGAGAATGGCAGGAAGCCGCTAATCGCAAGCAGTTTCTCCCAGACCAGTTCCAGCACTGGTGTCGGAGGTGACCAGAGAGAGAAGTGGAGGGTGGGGTATCGGGTGTGGGCTCCACGTTGGGGCTTCCTGAGAGCCCCGTGGCCCTGCGCAGCGGGCTTGTGCCACCGCGGGGGCGAGTCCTTTCTGCTCAGAGGTCCTCTGGCCCCCACCCTCATCCAGTCGGGTGACATGGTTTGCACAGCCCCCCCCCCCCCCATGTTCCAGCTGTTGCCACCTGGGTCCTGGCAGGACCCTCCACCTGGGCGACCTCCCTGAAGACAGGGAATGGGCAGTGTGGCCGCCCAGGTGCCTGGCAGGGAGCAGCCGACTCCCCAGTCCCTCTGTGCGCCGACCCTGAGCTGGACACACAGGGATGA